AAGGCCACTCTAGGAACTGCCTGTCACCACTACAGCAGGCTGTGAGCCGTGTACATGCTCATCCCTCATGGGGTTGACCTCCCCCAACACTACTAGCTCTGTTACCCACTATTCCACAAGCTATTGGCCAACTGTGTCCTTTGCGCGTGGCTCTGACAATTTTTGCCAAGCCTATATATCTATTTACTTAATATTCTTTCATTTGTAAGCCATGAACCAAAGTTCAATTCTAGGCTCTACCACTTACTGACTTTATGTTGCTGGGCAAGTTCCTTTCCCTACGCTCTCTATGCCTCGTCTGTATACTGAAGACGGTGACGACAACTACCTGGAAGGGTTGCTGCGACAGCTTCCTGAGCCACTGCTGGTGAAGTTCTATCACCCAGCACACAACAGGCATTCAGTGCATGCCAACAACCACTGTTGCATTTATTTGAAGGGGAAACTCTAAGTCCTATCTAAAGTGATAAAAGTCAGTGCCAGTTAACACAAATAGAGAGCTATAAATGCAATGAAAACAGTTATTACATTCCAGCTATTGCTTACCAAAGGTTCCACGCCAAGATCTGCTCCCATTGTACCAAGAAGAGAGACAGGGAATCATAAGAAAGCTGTTGAAGGCACACTCAGCTCACACAAGGGTGACCACTTCCCTATCTGCCTAAGCCTATCTCGCTTTCAGCAACTCTCATTCCCAGACACTGAGCTTCAAACACAGAATCCCTCCTTGGTACAAAAGACTGAGAGGATCTTCAATAGTGTCCTGACCGTGTGATTGTTTGTGCTTAAGGCTGCCCAGAACCACCCCACTGACAGACATCTTGAAGAATGAGTCTACACTTCAGGACACCTCTGAGAACTGAGTTCCCAAAAATGTGGAAAAGTCATCATGTCATGTGTGTCCCTCAGATAATCCTCTAGGGAAACCCGCATTACAAATACCACTAACAGGAAGGCTGACTAAACTTCCACAGCTAATATGACTCTGCACAGTGAATCCACTGCAAAAACCATTGTGCTTGAAGTATTGTTAATAATGCAGAGAAGAGATCACACTGGAATGGGAAGCTTAAAAATACCAGACTACAAAGCCATTCGAGGTCTTGATTTTATAAAAATACAGAACAATGTAAAGATTCTACAGGGCTGGGCTCAGTCGGTAGGCTGCTTGCCTAGTTTCTCGTTTGCTCTCTGGGATAAACCCATGACCAAAAGCAACTTGGGGAGAGAGAAGCCAAGGCAGGAACTCAAGGCGAGAGCTTGGAGCAGAAACCACAAAGGAATGTTGCTTACTGGCTTGCTTCCTGTGGCTTGCTCAGCTACCTTTCTTAGGCCCACTCACCCAGGGATGGAACTGCCCACGCTGGGCCCTTCCACATCAGTGAGGATTAAGAAAATGCCCGCCACAGACTGCCTACAGGCCAGTCTGGCGGAGGCAATTCCTCAGTTAAGAATCCTTCCTCCCAGGGATTCTTAGGTTTGTGTTATGCTGACAAAAAGAACTATGGCATCTAGAGCACATGAAGCTCTAAGTTTGATAAGCTGCAACACATATACTGAGAGTGATCAGAAGTTCAAGGCCATCTCCATTTGAGGCCAATCTAGGCTACCTAAGACCTTGTCTCAAAAGCAGGAAGATGGAAGAGAGGAGACGAGTAGAGAGGAATTTATAGATGTATCTCCTGAGACGTGCCTAATCTCACAAGATCGTAGAAGCTAAGCAGGGTGTGGTCTGGTCAGTCCTTGAATGGCAAAAATGTAAATAAGAAATACACCATAATAGTAATGACTTTTAACACTTCTCTTTATAATTACTTCTGAGTTTCTTTTTATATGCTTGTCTGTATTCCCCAAGGAAGTTTAGCAAGCGCATAACTACTGTTACTACCAGAAAATAATTGAATAAAAATTATAAAGGAAAATAATAAGAAGTAACCAGTGCTGATTAAGACAGCTCCTTTCGTAGTAATAACTTTAATTACATTATTTAACCGTGTTGTTATTGAGAAGACACTTGGTTGAATTTAAGATTTTTTGATAGTTTCACACATGCTTCCCCACACACAAATGAATTGTGAATCATATTCACCCTCAATACTTTCTCCTATCCCCCTCCTGCTCCCCCCTCCATTAGTCCTCTTCTTCTGTGTCTTTTTCGTTTTTATTTATTTTTGACCCACTGAGTTAACTAGGGTTGTCTGTGTAAGCATGGGTAGAGGGTTATCACTAGAGTATAGGCAACTTAATGGCTACACCAAGGAAGAAAATGACACCAAGGGAATCATTAACCGCCAATAGTTCCTCAGGGAAGGGTGGGGCCTTGTAAGCCCCTCCCTAATCCATGATGGAAAGGTGAAGGGACCAATCTTGTGACTAAGCCCAGTCTTAGCACACTTTTTTATATATGTCACTGGTTGGGGGCGCTTTTCTGTCTGACTGTCACTTGCTTTCTATCTCCCCTAGAGAAGTCCCTGGCAGATGAGACAAGGTTTGCCCAAGGTCACAGGCAATAGTTCCCTCTGCTCAGGTGCCAAGTTCAAATGTCCATCATGTGAGATTGACCAAGGCTGTCATCTGAAGCCCAAAGTCCGCAAGGCTGGTGTGACAGCCCCCTTTCCTCTCTTCTTGATTTCCCTGTCTGGAGAACACCACTCAATAACTAGCCCTGGGACCTGAATTACTAACTACAGGCAGGACAGCTAGCAGAAGTTGCCTGATCCTAGAGAGAGCCAGCCTGAACTAGACCCCACCCTCCCACCCCTGGTAGCAGCTGTGTGCCTGTAAGCTACAACATTCTGAGTTATAACATAAGTACTGACTCAAAGAGCACACCTGGACTAGGTCTGACCACACAGTAGGAACTCAGTGAATGTCCCTTTCTTTTCCTTGCACTCCATTCTCCATCTCCCTGCTCTGACTTAGGTAGCTCCCCAAGGTGCAGGAGCAGAGTTATTGTCTCTCCACCTGGACCCTGGGCATTAAACAGGCTGTCAAGCCACATTGAAGATGGCTGTGGAGCATCCCTGTGAGTGACCCTGTGGGGCTACTCAGTTGACAAAGCAAGGAGAGGGAGATAGCCAGAGCCTCCCCATCCAGCATCCTTCAGACAGCAAGATCTGAGCATCATGTGTTCAATAAACCTGAGTGCTGTTTAACCAGGACAAGCCTTACAAGTGTTCCATCTGTTCATTCATTCAAAAATGGTTGACTCTGAACACTCAGTAGGCTCATTCTGGGTATGGAACACACAGTGTGGACTCTTTCTCACAGACTTCAGTCTCCCAACTGCTGGAGGCCACTTATCACGTAAACAATCCAGTTTCCTCCCAAGAACTCCCAGAATGCTTTATCCCCAAACTAAGAGCCCCTGGGCCTATTGGGAATTGGGAGTCACCCGGTTCTTACTCAACCTACCTAAGACACTGGGTCACGTGGTGGCACTAAATACACTAGTCCTGGTGCCCGCACCTGTAAAGCTGAAGGACAGATATATGTCCTAGAAATGCTGTGGGGTTCTGTGACACTTCACATCACAGCCCCAGATGCAGCATGATGGTTTGTGCTCCTCCCACCATCCTCTCAAGAAACAGGATCCAGCAGAGGTGAATGGGGCACTTGGAGGGGGGCTGTCAAGAACAGAACCTCCAGAGATGGTCAACGGTGGTTAAATCAGCTGTGCAACTTCTCTGTGCCTCAGAAAATACAATGTCTTGTTCAGGTTGTGGCAATTAGCAGTTTTCCTTCCCAGAGGGTCATAACGGGTGCATGGAAATGACTCACCACCACGCATGTGGGAGGAGACATAGGCTTGAATACAAACAGCCACCTCCGACACATGTACACACATGCCACTCAATTCTGTACACACATGCCACTCAATTCTGAACCAAGTGTAACAATGACAACCATCTTGTCCCTTTGTTGAAAATCAGAGGCCAGTATTGGAGGTGCTCACAATCTTCAGGGGGGAACCCACATAGACCTGCTTTCAAATCCTAGCTCTGACCCTTCTGTGTGATGGAGGCAAGTCCCTGAACCAAAGAGGAGGGAGCTGCACGGGCCCCACTGCATGTGTTACCTCTCTGTGGGGAGGCCCTTCCTCCCAGGTCCTGCCTGGCAGCCTTGGCGGCTTCCTCCTTCTCCATGCAGAATGAAGCTCAGCCAAGCACAGGGCTTCCTGGCTTGCTATGCCACCCTAAAGCAGCCTGAAGAGTGTTAAAGAGCAGCAGCTGTCACTTGTGGAGGCAGGAGCGCCAGCCAGGGGTCCTAGGCCATGCTGTTGTTTATGCAGACTGTGAGGCCTCTCCAACTTTTACAACTGTTTACTGCGCAGAAGGGAGCCCGGCAGCTGGGCCTCTCCAGGCCCATGTTCTCCCACCTTACCTTTGAGAAAGCCTGTCTGAGTGCCACTCACTCTAGGAATAGCTTCCAATGGCCTCTGGAGGGTTACAGGTTGGGACGGACGGACAGACAGACAGACAGACAGACACACACACACACACACACACACAGAGCCATGAGAGGGTGTAGGATGTGGTGGGCTAGGGGACAGCTGAAAAAGAGAGATGGGGACGGAGATGGAAACGGGAGCTGTGAACAGGTCCGGGAGATCAAGCATAGGAAGGGAGCAGCGTCAAGGATAGAGTTGGCTCACACACACAGACCTGAGGGGAACAAAGTAGAGACTCGGGAAGTCCCGGGGAAGAAAGCCCACCCTGCCCATCTTGCACAGCTCGGTCAGGCATTACTCCACTGCCATAAAGGATCCCACAGGAAAGCCGTGGCTGAGGGTCCCAGTGAGAAGCCGCTTCTTCACCCCAACCTGAGCGTTCTTCCCAGCAGCAAGCAGAAGGGGCAGGATTTAGTGAGGATCGAGAGTTTCATTTCTTATTTAAAACTTAAGACAGCAACAATAAAAAAATACTCAGCTAAAATAGCACCCAACCAAGCCACTTCCCCGGCAACCTAAAGTGAAGTGCCCCCATCCCAGCACCCTGTACCTTTAAGGAGAGAAGGCGCCTCTCTGCTTTGCTCGGGCTGAAGAGGCAGGTTATTCTAGGCAATAGCGATGACTTACCTAAAACTGAGTTATTCCCCTTTCCTCCCTGGCCAGCCTCTCTTCACTCTGGGGAGCTTTTACCATTTAAGGTCAATGTTACATCTGGCCGCAGAGCTCCAAGCTGAAAAGCTCTGGCTGCAGAGCCCAGGCTGCTTGCCTCCTCCTCAGAGAGGGGCTGGGATGAGGGGCTGGGACCGGGAACCAGAGTTCCACCAGGCCCCCTGCAGCTCTGGGGATAAAGGCGGGAGAAGCCTCCCAGCCAGCCTCAGTACAAGGAAGTTTGGGCCTGAGTGGTAGTCCGTTACCCTGGGCTCTTGCAGGGGCAACCCTGTAGCCGATGGCAGAGCGTCGTTGGAGATGCCCAACACTGTCCTTGCCAGAGGGGGGTGAAGGGGACATGTGCAGAGCAGCCTCCCACCCCTGAGTGTCCAGCTAACATGTGAGCCTAGATAAGATCCTGGCCCAGTTCCAGGAGAAGCTGGGAATGTTTCCTGTCCCAGGGATTTGGGGGCGGAGGCTACTCCCATCTTAAACCCTCAGGATTGCCAGAGAGAAGGGCACAGAGAAAGGGATTAGCTAATTCCAGGCCTGGCAGCGACCCCAAGAGTAAGTCCCAGCTCCTCCACTTAATCCTGTAGCCTTGACATGGCAAAGCCTCAGTGTGTTCATCTCTGAAGTGGGCCAATAGTGATCAGTACACTGTGGGCCAGGTTCTCATGGGTTCAAGAAGAGCATGAATGAATGTCTTGCCCCCACCACACCCCTCAGTTCAGGTGGGGATGGTTGCCTCTCTCCTGGAAGTCCACACCCTGCCTACGAGTCGCGTTCTTCACCTTCCTCATATACAGTGCCCAAGGCTAGGATCACAAAATGTCAACCTTAAGACAACCACACGGGGGCTCCACTATCACTTCTGCCATTAGAGAAAGCCCTTGGGTGGGGTAGCCAGATAACCACGGGATACTCAAATTTAAATCTCAAATGAAATGCAATTATCTCCATATAAGGATGCCCCAAATACTGCATGAGACATGCTTATGCCACAAGATTGTATGTCAATCATTTGAAGTTCTATGTAACCCGTCATTTCACTTGCTAAACCCAAGAACTCCGGCCCTGGATATCATTTGTTAGTCCTGGGTGAGAGAGAGCATGAGGGATTGGAGTTCAAAGTCCCATGGCCTCTCATCTTCTGCCAGGATGAGCACAGGCCGGGTCTCCAGACCCTAGCCACAGGCAGTCACCAGAGCAAGTGCTCTCAGACTCGTCTGAACCCGGCGGTATTCCACTGCACGCCGGGCTTGCTTCCAGCACACCATCCCGGCCTCGGCCTCTCTCTTTCTGGGTGTTGAGTAAGCTTCCTGCTGGGTAGCAAATCTGCCTGTTGGCCTCATTAGTCACCTTCTCCCGGGAATCCACATTTGTCTGTGGATGTGTGTCCCACTGGCAAGGCCACCTGTGGAAACTACTAACATCGACCGCTGTCTAGCTGCGTTCCAACAACCTCAGAATGACTCCAGTCTCTACACCTGGGCTTAGAGGCTCTGGAATCCTCTTCCAAAAATTCTAATTTCATAGATCTGAGTCTGAAACAAGACACAGGCATCTCATCCAAACTAAGGTCCTCTGTGACTTGACATTCTGAATTTTAGGACATGTTGCTCTAAAGCAGCAGTTCTCAACTGCTTTGGGGGTTTAATGACCTTTTTACAGGAGTTGCATATCTGATATTTTCATTATGATTCATGACAATAGCAAAATTACAGTTATAGAGTACAATTAAATAATTTTATGGTTAGGATCATCATAACATAGGAACTATATTAAAGGGTTGCAGCATTAGGAAGGTTGAGATCCACTATTCTAAAGGGTATTACAGAAACCCCTGGTAACCAGAGGCTAAAAATGAAGTCTAAGGCTTTGTGTGCTTATGAGTGTGTGCATACGCTTGTCTGTGTGTAAGCCATTTAGTAAATGCCCACTATATTCCTAACAGTGCATTAGATACTTTTGGTGAAAGCACATGTCTATCTCACAAGGGTCTTATCAGACAGAATTGATGTGTTTTTCCTCTGAAAACAAAGGAAACGCTTCTTCAGGTGCCTTGAGCGCCTGGGCCCAGATGTGAACTGAGGTAGTTCCATCTACAACTCCTTCCTCTTCCCTATCTACCACTAGTCTCTGAGGCAGCACTTAGAGTTTCTCGATTTGTGTTTCTCTTGGTAGAGGCCCAAAACTTTCACCAGACTCACCAAGCAGTCACCAAGTGGTTTTTCAAAACTCACTTCAATGAAAGCATTTTGTAAAGCATCACTTGGTGAATGTGCAAAGCGGAACAAGCTCTATGGAGGACCATCAGCACTGTCAAGGTTATGAGGCTCATGCCCTTTGACCCAGTTCTACTTCTAGGAATTTATTTTATAAACAACTCCCACACTTGGGAAATGACAGATGTACATGATTACTCATTGAAGCATTGTTTATAAAAGTAAAGACATTAGGAATGACATAAATGTGCACTACATGGGGGTCACAAAAGAAAATAGGATGCAGCCATAACAAAGAAGGAGGGAGCTATTGCTCTAGTGATGGGAAAAAGACCCTAAGACAGTGGTTCTCAACCTGTGGGTTGTGACCCCACAGAGTCACATATCAGCTATTTACATTATAATTCGTAACTAGAAAAATTACAGTTATGAAGTAGCAATGAGATAATTGTATGGTTGGGGGGTCACCATAACATGAGGAGCTGTATTAAAGGATTGCAGAATCAGGGAGGTTGAGAACCACTGTTCTAAGATATATTGGTACATGGGGAGACAGCCAAAAGAAAATCTTCTTCCACATGGGTGGGGAAAGTGTGTGTAGATGTTATTTACATACATATGAAGATACTTATGTCCATTCATACATACCCACACTCACAACTGCATACAAAGGCTGGCACAAAAGTCATTAATATTGAAACATTATCCCTGGAAAAGGAATCTAAGTTGTGGAATAAGGATAAACCATGGGGTTAGTGAGATGGCTCATGGGGTGAAGGTGCCTGCTGGCAAGCCTGACCCCCTAAATTCAATCCCCATAGTAGAAGGAGAGAACTGACTCCCACAAGTTGTCTTCTGACCTCTTCGTGCCCACCATGGCACTTACATGCATAAAATAAAATGAAATAAAGAAATTTAAAGACTAACCACTGTATTCACTGTGTCTTACTCATGCACTTAAGATCTTGGGCAACAGGACTAAGTCATATGTTTACATTCAATAATAACAGTAATAATAAAAAAAGCAGTGCTCTGAGCAGAGATTTAATTAATTTGTCTTCCAGCACTGCCTTCTCCAACTGTCAAGAGTGCTGGGAAGATTGTGACCAAAGGTTTTTGGTGAGTGTGTGTGTGTGTGTGTGTGTGTGTGTGTGTGTGTGTGTGTGTGTAACTTTTATTTTGGAACAAGTACAGGCATACAGGAAGTTATAAAAATAGTAGAGTCCCAAGTACTACTTCATCAGCCTCTCTCAGTGGTGGAATTTACATCACAGTTATGATTTCAGAACCAGAAAATTGACATCAGGATGTTACTGTTAACAAGATGCTTTTATCCCCATGTTATTTTTTAAATGTAATCTTCTCGTTCATGCACTTAAAATGTCCATTGATGGGGCTGCTGAGACGGTTAAGAGCATGCACTGCTGTTACAGAGGACTCTACTTCAGCTCCCAGCATGCAGCTAAGTGCCTCACAAGTCTGTGACTCCAGCTCCAGGGGCTCCAACAGCCCCTCTGACCTCCGTGGGCACCTGCACTCACATGCATACATACACACATATACACATAATTAAAATAACAATTAAAGGCAGACAGCGGTGGTGCACACCTTTAATCCCAGCACTTGGGAGGCAGAGGCAGGTGGATCTCTGTGAGTTCAAGGCCAGCCTGGTCTACAAAGTAAGTTCCAGAACAGTCAGGGCTACACAGAGAAACCCTGTCTCAGAAAAAAAAAATTTTTAAACAGCGTTGACTGAGTACCTTTGGTGAGCTGATGGAATGTGGTAAGAACACCTGTGACCTATCTGTGCCCTCTTAATGACCCCTAAAGTCATGTGACAGTAGCGTCACTGAGGCCTAGGATGCAACAATGCACGAGCAGTGCTGGCCACAGCTCTAAAAAAGGAACTGTGTCCCTCGCTGTCCTGGTCACGGAGCTTCACAGCTTGCCCAAAAGCTGACTTTTAATCCTTAAAAGAACACAAGCAATTACTCTGGCTATATTTATCCGCGTTCTGGAGCCACACAGGGATTTGGCCTCACTCTACCAAAATCTCCAGCTCATCACTCATCCCATCAGCGACCGTCATGTGTCCTCAGCATAAAAGCAATGGGCCAACAGAGGCATACTGGCCCACAGCTCGGGCAGGCTCTTGACTGGCCATCTGACCTTTGGCCAGGAAGAAGTTTTAAGGCTCAGGAAAACAAAAAGCTCATCCTGGGACAGAAGGACGCCATGGGAGGAGACTTGGCTTCTTGCCAAGAATGCAGCCAGCGCTGGGGGTTGATTGCTAGACAGCTTCTCTGGGAGCTTGACTTGCCTGCCCTGTTAACTTAGTGACTCTGAGAAGGCTCAGCACTTAGCAGACCCTGAGTGAAAGGACAATGAGAGCCAGCTCAGTAGGTATCATTCACTAAACTCGGGATCAGGCACTGTGCCAGCCACTTTGTGTACATGGTCCAATGATGCCATCATTCCCAAATACACATGATGTGTAGCTCCCCACCCCCACATGCCTCCATCTTGCAGTTTGTAAACTCCGGGCTCTCTAATTCTAGAGTCCCCAAGTGACCAACCAAAGACCACAGACTGCAAACACAAGATCCCGACCCCTGTCCCTCTTCCAAGATAATAGTATCCCTTTCCTCCTGTCATCCCAATAAAATGCTAGCGGGGACTCCTTAAATAGGAGTGCACATTTAAGCTGGGAGTGGTGGAATACACCCTAATCCCAGAGCTTGGGGTGGGGGAGGTGTGCTAAGGAAGGAGGATAGTGAGTTCCAGGCAGCCTGAGCTATATAGAAAGATGCTGCCTCAAACAACAAGTAAACAGAGAAAATAAGGTAAGTGAGGAAAAGATAATATATGTTAGCCACAAATAGAACTAGAGAGAAGAGACATGAATGGACATTTCTTCAAGTTTGCAAGAGAAACTGGAGGAGTGGTGCCTATTAAAATCAGGGCATGGGCTGGGCGGTGGTGGTGCACGCCTTTAATCCCCCCCACTCGGGAGGCAGAGGCAGGCGGATCTCTGTGAGTTCGAGGCCGGGCTGGACCGGCAGCCTCCAAAACAATACAGAGAAACCCTGTCTCGTAAAACCAAAAAAAAAAAAAAA